AAAAAACTTCAAGTATCGAGGTCTATGACTGCAAGTATTATAAAAAACCAAGAAGTTTAACGTGCTTTCGTTCAGACGACTTGATTCTTCTGCTTTTACAGTCGTTGTTTCTTTAAAACTTACGGGTATGTAATAATCGACTTCTTTGTTTCATCGTCAACGTTAAGTAAATGCTTTTTTATTCTTATATTTAGTTTTAATGCGTGCATAACAATAAAATTACTGTCGAAAGTAATATTTCATAAAAATTTTATGTGTTTTTTTGGTCTGTTTGATTAATATATGACAGTGACTTCAGTAAAACTTCTAGCCAAAATGAAAACAGACTTTTACCAATTTTGCAACAGCTCTTTAACACCGGAAAACCAAAGTTCTCATTGCACGGAAACTTCAGTCAACAGAGCGATTCTCGTCAAAGCTCTATGTAAAACAAGAAAAATGGTCAAGGAAGGTGAAAAAATTTGTTGCGAACATTTCAAAACTGCTTTTCGCTACCATTCTTTATTTGTTGCATATTATGAGGTAAAAAACGAAAAAATAAAAAACTAATTTGAGATTAAAACACAAAAAAGATTACTTGAAAATTTGCAAACAGACAAAAAGCAAAATAAAAAGATTATTAATTAAAACCTTCTAAAAAACTCTGTTTGACTCTTAAAAAAGCAATTTTTTATGATATGTCTCATAAACAATTATGAGAACGAATGAAATAAGTTTTCGCAATTTACTCTTGTGTTTCGATGGTTTGACGTCAAATCGGTTTTTGCATTTTAATAGTTTATATGCATTTGTATGCATTCAAAATTCTAAATTATATTTTTTTTCAGCAATATTTTCAGCTGAGGACAGAGGTGTGAAACGTCGCGACAGATATGTGCATTCAAATAGTAAAATAAGTATCTGGCTAGGGTACAGTTGCTTATCTTTAAAAATTAAATTCTGTACCGTACACTTTATCAGGTAATCTAGAAAAGCTTAAGTAGAAAAAAAAAATTTATAAGTGTATTTTTTTGGTTTTCAACTTTACCTTTTCAACAGTAATAATAAAGTACTCAGTACCAAAACAATTTTTAAAGCAATTACGAGTTACCGATAAAATAATCAACGAAAAAGGTCAGAATTGCAATCAGTAAAGAGCTCTACTGCAAAGCACAAAAATAAGGTTCTTTTAAATTGAAAAAAAAAATTGTGAAAACAACAAATATTTCATATTCAATAGTAAACACTTTGTAGATGACTTTTTAAAGAAACAAAACTGTTGTAAAAAAGTTAAATCTACTTTTAAAAAATACAATTTGAATAATAAATTTTCAAGAACATTTGGTAAAATAAAAATTTCAAATTTTTTCCACTTTGATATTTTGTAATTTGGCACTTAATTATGTGTTTCTTTATTCAAAACATAATTTTTATCAGATAAACGTAAATGGTGCATGTAAAAAAAAAAAAGCAAAAAATAATTATGAATAAATATTTCGACGTTGAAATTTCTCAACTGTTTATAGACATTCAGTGGTTATAAACAGTTGAGAACAGTTTGGTGTTTTATAAATCATTCTTAAACGTATTTAGGTTGCATTTCTTTATCACTAATTTATTTTAATTTCTAATGGATCTATCAGAGAAACAGCCAAATGGATTTTATAAACAAAAATCCTGCAAGTTTAGAGATCTTATATATTTATTGTGCTTACTCCAACAACCAAAAATTTGGTATTAGTCACATGTATGAAGGAACTTGTATTGCAACCCTTAACTGCCTTGGTTTCAGAAACAATTAAGATAAAAAAACTATCAGTTACCTTCATTAAAACATGTTAAAATATTTGTTGTTTTACATTCTTCTCTTATTTTGCCTTATTACTGTTAAAAAAGCGTCGTAAAGTGCCCACCTTTAGAAGACGAATAACAGAACTTGCAAGACACAAGAAAAGTGGAAAAATGTGTCTTACATCGGCGCAAATTTAGAGAAATGTTTTAGAAACTTTCTGGATTCGGTGAAGCGAAAGAACCATAATTTAAAAATCTAAATATTTCAGAAAGTAAACTAACACATAAAAACTGTTTTTTATGTGTCTTGCCTTCGCTGGAAAGGAGTGATAAAGTGTGGAGGTGAAAATGAGAAATGTAGTGATTACAAATAGTGAAACAATTTTGAATTGAATTATAATCTGATATTGTTTTACAGCCTCTGTTTGCTCTTAAATATGTAAGATTTAGAGAAACTGACTGCTTAATTTGTGGATTTAGGTGCACAAATAAAACAAGAAAAAAAAAAAAAACATTTATGACAATCAGGTTAAGCAAACGCATCTCCTGCCGTTTCAGTTTGTTAAAGTATTGCATTTTCAAATTTACTATTTAAAATAAACTTGTCAAAGAGTTTTATTGTATTACTACAATACTGCATATAAACCAGGGTCAGTCTGGTACTACAGACTTCATCAGTATCAAACTTAATTCACTACTTATGCTTTTTTAATTTTTATTGGTGACTTATACTGGCCAAAAAAAAAAAAACTGGTGGAATGAGTGACCGTCCTTAAATTAATGTATCTTTCTTAGAATGCAGCCTTCCAGAGTAACATCAAGGAACAGCACGTTTGGTTTTGTATAGCATAAGATTTGAATAGCAGAACTTTATAAAACAACTCAGCCTCCTTGAAAGAGTCATGAAGAAAAAACCAACTGTGAAATTTTAACGCTGCAAAGTTAAGCTAAAGTAAAGCCACTGTCTCTGAATCTGTAAACATTAGAATAAAAATCTAGTTTTATTTATAGAAATACTCAAAAAGATGGTATTGTACAAACATAAAAATACATTAAACTTGTGAAAGTAAAAAGAAGTGTTCTGCTAATTTTTCTATTTGTTGGTGCGCCTTAGAAGTTACTGCATATTATTATTACCTTTATCATTTTCTACTACTGCTTTTCTAACGCATAAGAGTATAACAACAAAAAGTGTAAAACTCATGATTAGATTAACAAATTTTTAAGCTCAAAACTTTGACAACAAACTTAGTAATTTTTTCTAAAAAATATCTAGACTTTCAAATGCAATCATCAGTCATCGTTTCTCTAACGTGGCGCTGATTATCATTGCTTCAACAAAAGCATCTCAATAAAATCAAAAGTGACGAGAGGTGCCCACAAATTATTTATCCTGCTCTCTCTTTTTTGAACAAACATTTTTTTCTAATGAAAGAATGACATTTACAGCATTAAAAGGTTTCGCAAATACAAAAATTTTGCACTAAATTGCTTGCTTTGAAATTTTGTAAATGTTTAAAACGGTTATTCTAACTTTTGTAATGAACTGGCTTCTCAAACGTGTTTTATCATTCTATCTTGTTAATGTTCGCAATCAGTGTTGCAATTAACAAGTTCCTTATGAATGTGAGTAATAAATTTTAAAAAAAATGATCATAAGGAAAGCATTACTTACATGCATTAAACAGCCGTTCACAGCAGCTGTCAACACTTCTCACTCGAACTGCGGCAGCCGTGAAGAGTATTAAAAATTATGTGGAAGCATTTTTCATCTGTTGTAATATTGAAACCTTCGTGAGCACCGAAGCTGTAATGAAGCAGCAAGAGCTTCATTCTTACAGATATGAACTAATAAGAAAGCAGTCATCAGCTTCCTCTCTACCAGCACACATTATTAAATCTGATGAGAGCTTTCTTTTGTCAGTCAAATTTCTTTAAACATGCATTGAATCTAAAACACTACTTTCACCATTGTTTGCTTCTCCTCATGCATGACGATCGCGCTGTGGAAACAGTGAGAGTTTTCCAGTGGATTATTATAAAACTATGTGTAAAATTATACAAAGTTTAAGTAACCGAATTGCAGTTTGTCAGCTATCTGTCTAAAAAGTAGTACAGCACACTTTATAAAAATTTATTTTCGACAAAAACTGAAAAAACGCAGTATTTTAGGAAGCAGTATTAATGTAGAAATCACTGCGAGTAATCGACATCAGTATCAGTGACGTTTCGCTCGTGTTTTATTTACGCAGCTAAACAGCCAAACCGAACTAGCATTTAAAAAAACTAATTAATGCAACAGTATTTTATTTTCAGTAGTAATATGCGCTGATCAAGCTAACGCTGATAAAACTAAAGGCTGCGCTTGGTTACCGTGGACTATCGGTCACGCTCCTTTTATGCAGCAGCAGCGTCCGTGAGCACCTGGTTCTTGTATACCATGAAGTTGTCAGTACTCAGCATCAAAATGTTACATGCAAACAAATACGGTATGAACACGAAGAAATTCAGAGTGAACAGAAAGAAAACTGGTTCTGGTAAAACTTTTCTTATTTCTAAATCTACCGCAGATGAACAGCCATGTTTCTACAAAATTTCATAAAAGTCACCTATCCCTAAGTCAAACATATTTAAACACAGCTGCCTGGCCAGCAAATCCAAGATAAGAAGTATAAGCAGCTTGTTAAATTGACAACTAGACGCTGATAGAGCAAAAATACATACTCAAGAAGAAATTCTTAAAGAAAAAAAACATTGATCAAACTTTAACATACAAAAGATCACTTCAATCTTTCTTCATTCTGAATCTCGTACATGGTATTTGCCGCTTAAATAATAAAATACGTACCCTCTGTACTTGATGAGGCGAGAGCATCATTATTTCATCGTCTCAAATTACAAACTGTAAAATCTAATTGTAAACATTAACTTTCAGTTAATTTCTTCAAAATTATCTGGTGCTATATGCCTCAATAATTACAGCTTTTATT